AGCAAATTTCTTTATTCTTTATGAGAAAATATCTTCATATTTTTTCAGTGTGTTGTTTGATTGCATATTTACAATCCTCTACTCATATACTTTTTTTTAATTGCTTAGAATTATAAAGTTACATGAAGTTTTTTTAATTAGTTACATTAAGTTATAAAACATGTTTTTGACGAGACTCTTCATATAAGAATTTTAGATTTAGAATTTAGAAACGTGAATAATGCATTAATATGTACTTATCTCGCGTTGAAATTATACTTTTTATTAAAGAAATGGGTGTTACAGATCAAACTTTAGAGTATTTATAAAAGTATTACAGCATGCGGCGGGGCGTTAACTATGTAAAAAATTTGTGTGAAAAGACGTGATTTTATATTATAATTCTATGCAGAGAAACTGTAATATTAGAGTTGGAGAAAATTATGTAATCACTAATGACGCTTGGAGTTTATATAATTAATGAACAATATCCATCTAGGCACAGCAAATTATCGGCGTACGTTAATCTAATGATGTAATGAGGCATTTAGCAGTATAATTTAGTAGGGGGGAAAATTATATTCAGAAATGATAATTTTGAGAATTATAAATTTAAATAAGATTGTTTACTTATAAAAGTTTTTTTAAAAAAAAAATTCATACAAAATTTTCAAGAATTAAAGATTTTCATGAATTAAAATTTTTTATATTTTGCTATAATATTATATTTTTGAATATATAAATATTTTTTTATTAAAAAATTTATTAAATATATTTATTTAATCAAATCTTATTATAAATATGACATTAAACTATTTTAAAAAGTTGAAAATTTATAGTTTAAATAGTTTAAATATTGAATTTAATAAAAAAATTTGTTATATCATAATTAAAAAGAATAAAAATATATTATTTTATTTTATTTAATAAAAAAATTAGAAATATTAACATATATCATTAAGCTATAGAAACAAAATAAATTTTAATAATATTAATAAAAGTAATATGCTCAAGAAATAATAACATACAAAAAAGATTAAAAAAAATATGGAAGGGAGAGGGAGGGAAGTGGGAGTAGGGATGATAATAGGTAGAGTCTAGGTAAGGTTCTATAATATTCATCTTAAAAATAATATTATATCCAACTTCCAACTTCACACTTGCGCGAGTAATAATTTTAATCATCATCTATATATCCGTTGGGAACTTGTGTACCCATACTTGCACTTGTGACCCACATTTTACTTATGTAAAAAGTAAATAAATCAATAAAGAAATAATATTTCACACAAATAAATATAATATTAATTTATCAGATCTTTAATATTACAAAAATATAACATAACAATTCATATAAATAAAGATTACAAAATATTCAATTATTGTAAATAAATTTTTAAAAAAAATCAACATAATAAAAGTTGTAATTAAACTTCTAACATCATGATCATGTATTAACAATATTTTTCAAAACTTGCAAAAAAAATTATACAAAAATTAGCTAGATTAAATTATATACTATAAATTAAAAAAATATGTAGACAATTGACATCATCATTGGAATCAACTTCTCCATGTTTTTACGAACGTTTATCTTTCAAATTTATAAATTGTTTTGATCTAGTAATACCAATAGAAACTACATGACAAGAAAATAAATGATTGGATAATTTAAATTAATAATTAAAAAAAAAACAACTTTATTAAATAAAAAAATTTATTTATTTATTACCTTGTTATCTATATTTCAACTAACTTTGTACAAACACAAATGTCTGAGTAAATTCATGGAACCTAAAATGATTATAACTTAAAAATTTACCTCATGTGTTAAATGTAGCATTTGATGCTACGATTAAAATTGAGATTGCCAAAATATCCTTAATAATTTTTTTACAAAATTGAATACTTGATCTCATTTATTTTTCACTATCCAAGAATGTCAAAAGTAACATTCCTAGGCAAAACAAATTCCTTCAAGTAGAACTCTATTTAAGACCTTATTTGTATTTTAATTATATCATTCACAAATAAGTTATAATCACTAAGAAAATTTTTAATATTTAAATTATTCAAGTTTGATTCATTAACATTTACTTGTGAAGTCAAAAAATTTACTATTCTCTTTAACTTTAATTTGATATTCTTCAAACAATAAGTAGCATAATTTATTAATATTATTAATTTCAATTGAAAATGAGTTACCATAAAACTTAAGAAAAAAATACTTCAATAATTTCATCTTGTATCTTTGATCTAAAATAATAGTAATATTATTATATTAATTAATATATATTTATATAATAAATAAATTATTATTAAGTAATTATACTATTATATTAATATATTATAATTATAGGGCGGAGCGGGTTGGATACCATAATAATGCCTACTAAATTTTGTGAATCTATTCTTATCTTGTATCCATTCCATATAAATAGATATTTATCCATCTCACGACTCACATGCAGGTATTTTTGTGAATGTGGGTATGGATCCATTTTGTTATCTCTAAATGAAAGTGAAAAAAACAAACAACAAAGAGAAATTGAAGGAGAGAAGGGGAGGGAAAAAGGTAAAGAGAGGGGAAGCGAGACTTAGAATGAGAAAGGTGGAGAGAGAAAGAAAGAAAAGCAAAAAGAGAAAGAGAATTTCTACGGTACCCTCTATAAAAGATGGGTACCGGTACTGTTGATGATGTGTCACTTACATGTAAATCTAAATTATTTATAATTTTTTAATTATTTAAAATTTACATCCACGTCAGTTAATATGAAGTTCACGTTTTTAATTTTTTTTTTCGGAATGTTTGCTTCTGTGTTTCTTCCCTCTCTACGGGTCGGCGAGCAAGACGGCGAAGGCGGAGACCGCGATTGCCGGCGAGTCGTGGAGGAGGAGCGTGGCGGAGAGGGAGAGGACATCAAAGCGGCCGTGGAAAGTGACGATGGCGCCGGGGGTGACAGAGGGTTGACGGAGAGTGACGTTGGTGACGGTTCCCAAACCGGACACGACGCATAGGCCCGTGTTCTTTCTGTGGCCCTGTCGCCGACGGAGGCAGAGGTGGCGTTGGGGCGGGCGTGGTGGTCCTCGGGCGTTTAGAATCATGTCCTCATAGATGGGTTTTTCCTTTTTATTTTAATTTTTCAGAGGAAGGGATTGAAATGATTCGGCAAATTTTATGGATAAATCAAACTACATAAATGATTCGGCAAATTTTATGGATAAATCACACTACATATGTCAATAATTTGAGATATGCTATTTCTATGATGTTTGTTTGATTTCTCTAAATCCATTTCCTCTTGTGACTTATGATCCTTCTACAGACAAAGTAATTTGTTCAAAGAACTCTGGAGCGCTCTAGGAGATTCAGTACGAAATTTGAGGCTTATAGCAGTAAGTGAACCCTCCAATCTGTTCTAATTTTTAAGGGGTATAAGCAACTTTTCAATAAATACTACTGAAATGATCCAGGTTAGGGGAGTGGGAGACGGAGGGGCGTGGGAGAGGTGGGAGACGGAGGGGAGAGGAGATCGTATAATTATAAAAATATTAATAAAAACTTAAAAATAAATAATGTAAAAATTTAAATATAAAATAATTCTTATTTAAAAGGCTGACATGACATTTAAATGATGTGTACATACATATCAGATACATATCAGTACCAAAACCCTTCATTTATCAGGGGTACAGTAGCAACCCCCAAAGAGAAATAAGGAGACAGGGAAAGAAATATTTTTTATTTTAAAAAAGATACCATAATTTTTATATATAAAAAAAATATTCCCTATCTCATCAATGTTGGATTTCTATCCTCCAAATGTTTTTTTTAGAAAAATAAAATAAAAATAATTTTCAAAAAATTATATTTCTAAAAATCTTATTTTAAAAATAGTTATTAAACATAAAAAAAATTAAAATTTCGATTTAAAATTTCTAAAAAAAATAAAAACTTTTTCCGTACCATATATCCACCAACAGTATTTCATTACCCTTTGCACAAACACGAGAGGAAAAACCTTTTTAACAGCAATAACCATCATGTTGGCTTTCGAGTTTTGTCTTTTAACAGAAACCATCTACTTATTGGTGGTGCTGATGACACAAAAGTAGTCACAAGAAACACGATCACTATCTCTTGGCCATTATTGATCTGTGCGCAGTTTCCAAGTCAATGGTCAAAATATAATATATTTGTATTTCTTTGTGGTTCTACCTTTAAGTCCTAAGCTTTTATTTTCTTTACGTCCCCTTAAGTCGTCCCTTTTCTTATCTGTTTTTGTGGTTGTGGCCAGGACTACTAACTCTTTCTGCATCAGATATTCATGCTTATGTCGTCTTGTAGAGTTATTACTATTGCACCTTAATTAATCTTTCCTAGCCATTTTTTCTATTCTGAACTATTTTTTTGTCACTGCCGATGCAGCTGGAGAAGGCTATCCTCAACATATATGCAGTTCAAGCAAACAACAATTTCAGAAGAGAAAGCACGTTGCTAAATTAAACTAGGTTTTTTCTTTAAATTTTTAATAATTTAGGAACAACAAGTATTATGGAACTTTAGCGACGAAGTCGGAAGTTTTTCCTTACCATATAAAGTCACTCATCGCAGCTAGTTGAAACATAAACATTTTGTGCTAGTTTGATCTGCCACCAACCATGTACAGTAGCTTGATCTCATTAGAGCAAGTTTAGTGCATGGTCTAATCAAATTAAACCATGTTTATAAGTTTAATTATTAACTTCGTTGAAAGAAATTAAAACGAATTTATTTTGATAAATTTCTAAATAAAATTTATTGAAATAATCTATATAAAAAAAGAACTTATTAACTACCTTTATAAATCCAAATAGAGTTATCTAAATGTCACCTTGAACTAGCATAAAGTTTTCACAATTGGTTGTCATATCAAACATCTCTTCACTTTTAGTGGAAGAAAAAAAAAAGAGCTTGGGACAAGATCGTGGCGACGATTGGACCTTAAAAGATAACACCAAAGTCATCAAGAAAGTTCAAATGATACCAAAAATTGATATTTTTTAACATTGGTTAACTAAAGCAACTTTAAGCTTGGTTTTTAAAACCTAAAGCAACAATTCAAGCAGGATATTATAAAAACTAAATCGCACTACATACAAAATTAAGATAAAATATATAAGTGACATCATATTATACACTAATTTTGTAAAATTGAGTTAATTTCAAACTCACATTTTAATATAGTAAGCTCTTGTCTAAGGTTATTAAACATAGATCACTTAATACAAGTTCCATCAATATTGTTGCCGCGGGAGTTTCTGGGTGTTGGATAAGGTGAAGGCAAAACAAGTTCACTCATTCGCATGTATGAAGAAGGGGTAGGGGGAATTTTGGGAGAGAGGTTAAGCATCTCCAAGGCCTGTGTTCTAAGCTCTATAGGGTAGTCAGCAACACAGCCAATTCTTGGTCCAGCTCCTGTTGACCACTTAAGCGAAAGCTGGTGTCCTAATTGGTAGGACTTGGAAGCCTTCTTGGAATTGATTCTTTGCAATATTGCAGTCTTGGGCACCACAGCTCTCGGACTCTGAAGACCACCTGACAAAGTCCTTGCATAAGTAACACATTCAGGTTGAGGATCCTCCTTGGATGGAGTATTGGTAGCTTCCTCAGATATTTCAGGCACATACAATTTTCCGATAGACACTTCAGATGTTACTGGTCTTTCACTAACATTGTTGCTTTCCTCGTACATATCAGAGTCTTCATTTGCCTTGTGCAACTGAAACCACGAATCCTTAAAGTATATAAGTGATTGCCACCAAGTTTTCACTTCAATTATCAAGTGTTTAGGCCTTGCATAACCATGACCATAAATAAACATTATCTGCTAATGACAAAAAGACTTATTTTCAAATAGCCTTAAAAAAATTTCACAAACACCATCTTGACAAAATCAACAACTACTACTAAAGTTTAGTTTTATAGAAAATATCCTAATGTAGATCAATTACCTCAACTTCATCAAGCTTGACACCGTTTTCTTTGAGATATGATAAGAAACCGTCAAGTATATCATCTGTTGGTCGGTAGTGTCCACTATAAGCAGAGATGGACTGAAAAGTCAAAGTCATTGTGTCATTGATAATCAAATGTTTGTGGCCCACAAATTGAAAGTTGTCAAATTTGTTAATTAGAGTATGTTTTGATATAAATTTAGAAGTATTTTTGAGAAATTTTTCTACTAAAAAATGTTCTTTAGTATCAATAGAAACACCCTTAAAAGTTCTTATCGTGTATGAGTCCATGGATGATTATGCAAAAATAAAAAATAAAAAATAGTTGTCTTCTATCTCCTTGTCACTATAAAGAGCTAGCAGGCAAATCTCCTAAGTTTCATTAGCACAATAATTTAATCACGCAACCTATGAAGTTATTAAGTTAAATCACCTTAAGAATTCCCTGCTCAGCTACCAGCCTTCCAGCAGCTAATGTCACTCCTCCAGCCAAGAAACTAGAATGATGAAATAATCCTTTCTTTTTCTATAAGGTTAATGCAATGTATTAGTAGTACATGAAGGACATGGCAAGCTACATTTAAATAAAGTATTAATTTTAAAATGTAACTGAACTTGAAATTGTTACCTTGCCAGCATAAAGTTTCTTAGAGGTGCTCATTACAAATATCCATTTTGCATCGTCAGAGTTTTCATTTGTATCAAGTAAATCCCCATATTGCTTGTTGATAATTTTGCCCTCGCGTACAATGTATTCATATTGTTCTCTCTCTTGCTAATTTAGGTAAATAAGAACCAGTAGAAAAAGGAAAGCAAAACATGGAGCAAAATGTCAGACAAGCATGAATGCCGACCTAACCACACTTACATACACAAAATCCAAGTCAGAGATAAACGTACAGGCCCCAGGTACTTGATGCATTGTTTTTGAAGCTTTGATCGAGGGCATTCTTCAAGATCAAGATTCTTCCCATTTCCTAAATCCAACCTGCGGGAGAATAAATTAAAAAAAAAATAAAAAAATCAGCGACATAAATCAAACTATGTTCGCTGATTCTCCCCCTTTCCATCTTACCCTGCACCTTGAAGCCACTATTGTTGGAGATCCCACTATGATAAACCGTTTATTCAGATGAGAGACAATAAACCAATTTACAGACACTTATTTTTATCATAAACAAGATATAAATTTCTATTTCAATTTTCCAATTCCACATAATTTGTAAGTGAAGTATTAGTATGGCATGGAGAAAGAAAGCACAAGTAATTTGAGTATACAAAAGCATAATTAGCTAGAGATGGTATGGTATTGAGAAACTTGAGTGGATTAGATGCTGAACCTTACAAGGTGTATGACAGCAAGAGGATTCCCCTGTTCCCACAATGGAAACATCAAATAACATCGTCATTATCAATTAGAAAATTCATGTTTATGACGTTGTTTGTCATATAAAGCTTCCAATTACCAAGAGACCAGCCAGACAACTCAACTTATTGTACCGAAACACCATACGCAGGTGAAAATATTTGTGCACATAAAACACGCGGCCAATTAGTGAATGATTACTTCATTTGCCGACTCAAATCACAACCAACCCGGTTAAATTTTAACCCAAGGTTAAACCTTTTTCTTCACTCAAGTAATTAAATAATCTTACCAATAAAAAAACGGCTGACCAGCATCTGATTTACACCATTCTTTATGGTAGTATTGCAAGTTATGCCCATAGCGATGTCGTGGATCAATCTACAATTTGTAGTTACACTAATCAAAATTCAATTACGCAAGCATGAATCGTCAAGCACAGAAAAACACAAATAATTAAATAATATTTCCATAAAAAAAGGTCGCACGAGAACCATATATCATCATCATCATAATAATATGTTAATAATAATAAGCTCACAGCTTCGATCCAATGCTGGAAAGCCAATTTTTGTGCCTTGGCGTCCTTGGACAAACCTTTACCCACCTGCGCAAAAATAATTGAAGCTAAAAGCATAAGACCCGGTGTTGTATTTGGACTTTAGCGATTATTGTACCAAAATCACTGACTATAATACGACGACACCATTTTTTTTTTAACTCACAAAAAGAGAAAGAAAGAAAAAAGATAGACAAAGGCGATGTGATACCTTGGCAGCGTTCAATTTAACCCGAGTCCAGCGTGATGCAGCGGTTTCAGGCAAATTAAAGAAGGAAATAGTGCTGTGGTTTAGTCTTACATAGTCTATGGCTTGCCACCTTCAAAATACATATATTAATGAAAAATAAAATAATGAGTACTTTGACACATGAATTGTGAAATATTTGTTTGTGATACATATAGGGATGTAAAAACTAAAAAGGGTATGCATATGTGCATGCAGAGAGTGACATACCATAGCTCCTCGGCGACGACGGCGGAATCGGCCAACCTGCGGCGGGTACGGTAGCTCCGGTAGACTTTCTGGAGCTTGAGGGCGGCGGTGGCGTGTCCGGGAGAGAGTTGGTTGGTGGGCGTGGCATTGGGAGGGAAGTAGGTGTCGGTGTGAAGGTGGAACTCGAAGGAGTGAGTTTGAACTTCCATGGATCAGAACAAGCTAAGCTAGGGACAAGGACAAAGCACTACTCACTAGAACTGCTTTATCTTATAACTCGATAACTATGGTTGTTCGATGATGTTTCAGTGTAGTGATCATAAATGGGGTGCTCCACTCATCGGTAACTGGACATGTCTCCTACGCTTTCAAACAAGCTGGAGAAGGGACACTTCATTTTATAGCCATTCAATGCGCTTAGTTATGTCTTCTTCTTTTTTTTCTTAATAAAATGTGGTGTTATGAAAATTATTTAGACAAGATCGTCTTCCCTTTTTCCTATAAATTGACTTTTTTTGCCTTTCTATATCGCATTTATCATGGAAACTAAATATGTAATTAGCTAATAATTTCATACACAATTCTAAAAGTTGAAATCAACGCTTAGGTCAGGAGTTCGAATCTTGTTTTATATATATAGTTGTGTTAAATTTTGGGGTCAGTTATCCCACCTTTTGAGTTACCTCCAACGTAGTAAGGAGATTAGTCACTGCTATCGGCGGTAGATACTCCATGGACAAACTAAAAAAGTCGAAATCACCGCTAGTTAAACTTAAACAGCGGAACAATCTGCATTGATGTTTTTTTTTATCCATGGTAACTACATTGACAGTTAATTTTATGATGTGTGGAAATTTAAATTAATAACTTTATAATTTTCAGATACAGAGCATCTCTCTGTTATAGGAAATTGAAAATAACTGTTGGGATGATTTTAAAGACTTCTCAAATTATTGTACAGAAAACAAAAAACTACTCAAATTGTTAATATTTTTTTTAAACTTTAAAGTTTATATTAGAGTTAGACAATACTTCATATAAAATTAGAATCAACTACTAATTTTTTAAAGAATTTTTAATGAGATTATGGATTTACTTTTAGTGTAAAAAATATAAATAAAAAAAAGTATAAAAAGAAATCGATTCCAAATCTTAACTTGTAAAAATGAAAGGATTTATTTAGTTGCACTACCCTTTGGTGTGTTTTTTTTTATAAAAGAAATGTATCCTTTTTAAATCAATCAGATAATTTGCTTTTCTTTGCCAAAATTCCAAAATAAGAGCTGCAAACTTGAGATGAAATGAAATCCTCTAAATAAAGTAAATTAACTTGCTTTTAATGTTGAGGGCCCAAAGGCCCCAAACTACTAAAGCAAATGCCGCAAAACTAAGGTTGACAGTGACTCTTTGAAAAATCAGTATCACTGAAACAATTATTTGAAATATTTATCCTTTTCAAGTTTCAAATACTTTAAAAATAATGAATTAATTTTTGATATGGTTTCATTTTTCAAATATTAATATTAAAATTTAGAGTTTAGAGTTTAGAGTTTTTTATTTATTATTTTTAACATATCATTTTTATTCAAATTTGGTATTTTTTTTTCAGATAAGAACCAAATGTAATCTCTATCAAAGATAATGATTTTGTTTAAATCAAGTAAAATCATTGTAAGTAATAACTATTTTTTTTTTTTTAGAAAAATCAAGCTAACTAATTTCATTCACAATATGATAAACAATACATGGAGGGATATGACTTCTATATACATGTTGACCAGCTTGAAAATCGAGTGACTTAGCTAAATTACAAGAAACTAAATTAGTTTGTCTGGAAATAAAACTAACTTCACAGTTTTTAAACCTACTAAGAATTTGCTTACAGTTACTAGTAATACTCCCGAATTCATAAGCATCCAAAGCTAGACCCTTTACACAGTCAACAACTCGTTTACAATTTGACTCAAAAATAATGTTGTCAAGTTGTTGTTTCGTAACCTAGTTGAGAGCTTTGGGGAGAGTAATGGCTTTACACTCATGAGAAGAAGGAAGGTAATTGAATATGATAATCCTAACTCAGAGATATTAGCTATCTCTCAAACAAACACCAGCGTTAAAATTTTGCTCAATATGACTTACACCCGATGTTGTTGAATCAGGGAGTTCTTTGTCTCGTCCATAACCGACATTATTCAACTCATGCCTGGTATGGTCAATTTTCATGGCCAACCCTATTTATGGTAGAGAGTCTTTGTCTGACTCACGTCTAATGTCACTTCATTAACATCCGATGTCAATTTAAATAAAGACAATTCTCCTTCCTTATGCTCAATGCCATTTAAACCACGTTTAACAGGATCAAGTCAAAGAATTTTCTCTCTCTTTATGTTGGTGCCACCAACCATCACTTAATACAAGTAAGACAGAAAATCCCCCTAATTTGAGTCATGTTAAAGGCCCGTCCAATGTGATGGTGAATTTTGCACTTGCATATCCCCAAAATTGTTCTCCCTTTACCTAAAAACCATGAAATTCAATATGCAACACATCCACTAGTACATATACACTACTATCAACTCATATCCAACAAGAAATTCAACATGCAATCATTAAATAGCTCACATTCTCCAAATCTTCATCAAAGCACCTAACCTTCATGAACCAAAAATCCAAAACCTAAAATCAACAACACATATCCATCAAGACATGTAATTCAAGCAACAACTCAAATATAATTCAACATGGACAACACAACATCAACAAATATCAATTCTTAATTCCCCTTACATCAAAGTTGAAGAGATTCAAGGAAGAAGAATAAGAACGAGCTTTGAGCAACTTGAAAGCTCCACAACAACACAATCCTGATTCTTAGCTTTATGGGCTTTAAATCACCACTTAACAACAATCCTTACATACTCAGAAGCCTGGAAAGAAGGAGGAAGATTTTAGAAATCTTATAGCTCCTCACTTTAGTTTACCTCTTTATGATTACTAAGAATGAACTTATAACGTTCAATTCTTAAAAGAAAACTTTTATATTTTTCCTTCAAGATCAAATTGAACCTTTATTCGAAGAAACTTTCTGAATCACCTAAATTCATGAGGATTCCTTAATTCTCATAACTTCTCAACCACAATAACAAATTACCTTAACCATTAGTTATTTAAAGAAAATAACAATAATTAACACCAATGTACAATATTACATGAAACATTATACAAAGAGCAATTTCAAGAATTCTAGAATCATGAAAATTAGTATAATCATTAGAATTTCAAAATCAATATATTTTTTTATGCACTATTATTATATGAATAAAATTCATATATAATTCTTATAAATTAAAATAAATTTTTATATAATAATACATTAAATAAGAAGCTGCAATCTCATCACAAAACATTAATTATATTAATTACTAATTATTGTAGTTTTAAGTAAATGTAAATTTCGTAAAAAAAGTATATGTAAATTAAAAAAACTTAAAATATTAAAGGCTTAAATATGCTTTTAGTCCTCAAATTTAAGGTAAATTTATTTTTACTCTCTTAATTTTAAAATTGTTCTTTTTAGTCTTGTAATTTCAAAAAATATCGTTTTAGTTCTTATACTTGAATTTTGTTAAAGAATTTGTCGAATATTATCGCATAAAATCAACTTATCGGTGTTCTTATTAATGAAAATATCACATTAAACTCAATTGATACTCCATAACCGTCTCAATCTGTTATTTTTATATTTATTATTGGTGACATGAAAGACTATTTTTTTTAAAATCACAGGGATTAAAACACAATAATTTAAATTTGAGAAAATTAAAACAAAATTTGAGGGGTTAAAAATATGTTTAAGCCAAATATTAATTATAAAAGTTAGGCTAAAAACCTATTTTGGTCCCTTATAATAATTGTTTGTTTCAATTTAGTCCCACTTTTATTTTTGGTTTCAATTTGGTCCCAAATAAATCAATTGATTTCAATTTAGTCCCTAATAAATTAATTGGTTTCAATTTGGGACTTCCGTCCAAATTATTTAAACGGAGTTAACTGTTGGTCACGTGGATGCCACGTAGATACATAGGTGGATGGCACGTGGATGCCACGTGGATGCCACGTGGATGCCAATTTTTTTAAAATACCTGGAACCAAAACGGCTCGTTCTGAAACCAGAACGGCCCGTTCTGAAACCAGAACGGGCCGTTCTGGATGCACTCTTGGTGTGTTAATTTTGCATCTGAAACGGGCCGTTCCAGATGCAAAATTAATTCCAGATGCAAAATTAACACACAAAGAGTACAGCAGAACGGTCGCCGTTCTGGATTCAGAACAGCCCGTTCCAAAACTGAGAATAGAATATTCTTTATTAATTTTATTAAAAAATATAATAATTTTGAAAAATATTTTTTTATGGTAAAAATTTTAAAATTACTTATTTTTATAAAATACAATTGTCTTATAAATAGAGTAATAACTTTTTCTTTTTCTCTTTCTTTCTAAAGAAATATTTAAGTGTCACTTTATAATTTTTTGTAACTTATTTAAAATTAGAGGAATAAAATGATAAAAATTAATAGGATAAACATAATAAAATTATTAATTTATTTTCTTTTAGTGTCCTCTAAATTTTTACATTCATTTAAAACAAAAATATTTTATATGTTAATTTGAATTAATTTAACGAAGTATCATATGATTTTTAATTTTTTAAATTTTTTTATAAATTTGATCTATACATGAAAAACTTTTTAATTTAACAATTAAATTCTTAAAAATTTGATATAGAACATTAATTATTAAATAGAATAAATCTATCAAGACTTACTCTTGAAGTAAGTAAATTTTTTCTTCATTAAAAATGAAGATAATTTTACCACAAAATAAAAAATAATTAAATAATAAAATAAAAAATAAAAAAAATTAATATATTTATTATATTAGATATAACAACATAATTAAAATATAATTAATAATATATATTTTATAAAATTATTAATATTTTATATATAAAAAAAAGAATGAAAAAAAAAATTAGTGAGGGCAAGTGCCCCCACTATGATTAACTTAGATCTGTCCCTGCATATGGTTGTGTGGTAAAATGTTAGTCTTGTGTATCCTCTTCCTTTACTTCAGGTTCTACCTCTTTATGAACAGGTTGTTGTTGTTGGGGTACATCATTAATGACTTCAAGAAAAAATACATTGTCATTTCATCCTTTAGTGTCAATTTGGTTGTAAGTGGTTCACTCCAGTTTGAAATGAAATAAAATCTGCTATCATTGTCTTTAGTGATACATTGCACTGTCATTAATAATACACTGTATAGCCTAACTGTTTAGCAATTGAAGTTATCAATTTTCATTGACAATATTACCAAATTCAATATTTGAAATGTTTTGTACCTTGGGTCTTTTTCTTTCCATGATTCACAACCGTG